AAAGAGAGAGAGAGACCTGTTTGGAAAAAGATATATTCTCAATAGTTAACCTGCCAGGAAGAGAGAGGAAACATTTATAAAAAGAAATGAGCCAAATCAGGTGTAGCTCTTGCTCTGCTCCAAGAGCAGGTATTTTATGTAATCCATTCTTGTTTTGTTCCCAGAGTTTATCTTGTTTGGTAACTAAAACCACCAAAATAAGGCCTACCATATTCATTATCTTTGCCATTCCCTGAAGAACACTCTACGTGACTTCTCTGACCCAGACTGTTTTCTCTATATGACCTCTCTATCCCTCAATCTTAATTCTCTCTAACCAGAGATAATCCACCCTAACAGCCTGCTTGGAGATAAAAATAACTATCTGTTAGCATGACTAAGCAGTAATTAGAATGCACCTGTATATCTGGGACTCCAGCACAAGGGCAGGCAATTATTTCGGGCGGAGGGCCACTTACCCAGTGTTAGCAAACTGTGAGGGCCACACGGGTAGCCCTGCCCCTTGATCACCATCTTGGGACCGATGTCCCAGGGCCAGCACCGGTGGGGCCTAGAGCAGGGTGCAGGCTGGCAGGGGTCTGTGGAGCCAGGCTGGGCTGCACCAGCAGGGAGAAGGGGGAGCTGGCCCAGCTCCATAGAGCCCCTGCTGGCCAGGACTCTGTACCCCTGCTGCCCTGCTCTGGGACACCAGCGCGGGCTCCATGCTTCTGCGCCCGCCCACTCCCAGTGCCCCCCCACCCCACGGTACAGGCAGGGGGCAGCACACAGCCCCGACCCCCTGCTTGCTGGCAGGGAAGGAGCTGGTGCAGAGCATGGAAAAAAGCGGCCCCTTCCCTGCCTTGTGGCAGGCGCTCCCTGCTGCAGCCGCTCACAGCTCATGCAGGGCTGTCCTAAGCAGGCGCACTCAGCACCAGCTTGTAACACGCCCCTGCTGCCACCCTGGGCCCCACACCGGCTCCGGGCTTGCCCATTAGGGCTGTGTATGGCGGCAGCAGCTGTGGTCCCCACCGCTTGCTGTGCCAAGCAGTGTTTGCTGCTGCTGCCCACCCAGAGCTCGCACGCAGGGCAGCACAGAGGCAATGGTGGCAGCCTCACCGCAGCGCAAACTCCAGGCAGGCAGCAGCAGCAAACACTGCCCAGCATGGCAAGCAAGGGGGCCACAGTGGCTGCCATCGGGGCTGTGCAGGGCCAGGTTACAAGATGGTGCCAAGTGCAGGGGAAAAGTGGCCCCTCCCTGCCCTGTGGCTGGCACCCCACGCTGCAGCCACTCGCAGCCGCCGTGGGGCTACCTGTGCCTACTCAGGACAGCCCTGTGTGGGCTGTGAGCAGCTGCAGCAGGGAGCACAGGCCACAGGGCAGGGGAGGGGCTGCTTTTCCCTGAGCTCTGCACCAGCTCATTCTCTGCCCTCCCCCCACCCTCTTCTACCTGAGCTTCCTGTGCCTGAGCAGCCACATGGTCCCAGACCAGAAGCCCCTGCTGGGGCTTCCTGCTGTGGGGCCACGGCCGGGCGAGCCCTGCTGTTGCAGGAGGCCACGAAGGATTCCCCCGGGTCCTACTGACCTTGGTTCCTGTCATTTTTGATAGGAACCAAGGACAGATGAATTTTAATTTTCAAAAAAATTTTAGGGGCCCCGCAGGCCGGATAGAATGGCCTTGCGGGCTGGATTCGGCCCATGGGCTGTATTTTGCCCACACCTGCTCCAGCACCTGACAGAGATAATAGTGCAAGGGACCCATTTTTGCCTGCAGAATTCTGGACTATGTCCATGTATAAAATATGCAAGCAATTTATTCTATTACTGCCATTTCTAAATACGAGGGAAGTGTTTTTATTGAACCAACTGCATAGCTGGGAGAGATATTAAATAGAAAACTTTTGAGCACTAAGGGCTCCTATACACGTGCAGGGAACCTGGTGCGATGTGTCAAAAATCCAGTGTGCCAGAGCAGACTTGGTTAATCGAGTCTGCTGTAGCATGGGAATTAACGCGCTCCAGCAGACTGTACCATCACATGCATCGGCGACCCTGCACTGAAAAATGGCAGTGGGGTGCTGTAAACTAAAGGTTGTTTGTTGAGCTTTAGTTCAAAGTGCTCCACCACCATTTTTCAGCACAAGGACACTGATACATGTGACACTTGGGCACTTTTAATTGGTGCAGCTCACTATTTAAAGCACCCTCCCCATGCCTCCTGGAGCATGTGTAAAAATGCCCTAAGCGCCCTTCGTCTGGCAACTTGAGGCCCAATAAAAATACCACCAAGAATAAAAATAAAAAGCCTGATTTCCTGCAAGCATGATGGTCCAACAACACTCCAACCTTTCTAAAATGGAATTTCCAGGTGCAAAGGCTCTATGAAGCACAAAAACAAATACCTCATTAGACTCAAAATTTCTATCATGTAAAAATAGCTGCTAATTCACTTTATAAGAGAACTTTCCTGTATTCTAGAGATTTTTTGTTTCTAAATAAGTAACAGTAATATATAGTATTAAACCTTGCAGAAAGGATTTTCCCACACAGTAACTTTGTACTACCAGTTCTGTATAAAGCCCTATCTTGTGCAGGACTTCAAATCTGAGTAGAAAATTGCAACAATCTACATGAGAGTCCACCTTGCACACTTTACCTAGCCTAGCCTTCTGCTGATTTACTTTCCTTTTGCCTATGGAAAATGCATCAGTAACTCCTAATTCCAGTGTAGATAGCTTTTAACACCTATGCGGATTTATTGCAGGATTAGAGTTATTTTCATTCATCTGTATGATCAAACAAATTTAGGAGAATTTAAGGATCAGAGAATAGTATTGTACTCCACAAGCTTTTCACTCTAAGGAGCAGCACTGTTACCTCTTGGTAATGTAGATAGTTATTTTAGGTGCTTTTGGAAGGCAACTTATTTCTAGAGTAACAAAAAAGGACAACTATAAAAAATTAAGGGAAGAAATCATCATTGACAAAAAAGGATTTAAATGAAAAAGGTGTATTACCTATCTCACACTTCAGTAGATAACTGAAAAACTCTGAAATTAAATGTAATGATACCTGACATGGATTACTTTTATTTGTAGGGTCAAACATGACAGTTTCCTACCTTTAGCGAAATATAAATGAGGGGAGCCTTAAGTCTGGCTGCAGAATGGAAATTCAGGAAAGCAACTGAGAAAACCCATATTGAACGGGGGAGGCAACCTAGTGACAGAGGATGCAGAAAAGGCTGAAGTACTCAATGCCCTTTTCACCTGTCTTCACAGGGCAGGTCGGCTCCTAAACTGCTACACCAAGCAGCACAGTCTGGGGAGGAGATGATCAGCCAACAGTGGTGAAAGAACAGGTTAGGGACTGTTTAGAAAAGCTGGATGTGTACAAGTCTATGGGGCCTGATGGGACCCAAGGGCATTGAGGGAGTTGGCTGACGTGACTGCAGAGCCAGTAACCATTAGTTTTGAAATTTGTAGCAAGCAGGAGTAGTTCCAGCTGATTGCAAAAGGGCAAATATAGTGCCCATCTTTGGTGGGGGGGGAAGGAGGATCTAGGGAACTGCAAACCAGTCAGCCTCACCTCAGTCCCCAGAAAAAATCATGGAGCAGATCCCTCAAGGAATCCATTTCTAAGCACTTGGAGGAGGAGGAAAAGGTGAGTAGGAGCAATCAGCATGGATTCACCAAGGGTAAGTCATGCCTGACCAACCTGATTGCCTTCTATGATGAGATGACTGGCTCTGTGGACAAGGGGAGACTAGTGGATGTGGTATACCTTGATTTCAGCAAGGCTTTTGATATGGTCTCCCACCACATTCTTGCAGGCATGCTAAGGAAGTAAGGGCTGGATGAATGGACTTTAAGGCAGACCAAAAACTGGCTGGAGCACTGGGCTCAGAGGTTAGTAATCAATGGCTCAATGTCTAGTTGACAACTGGTATCAAGTGGAGTGCCCCAGGTGTTGGTCCTGGAGCCAGTTTTGTTCCAGGTTGCTGATGAAGACATTGAACATGGCATAGAGCACATCCTCAGCAGGTCTCCAGATGATACCAAGCTGGGGGGAGTAGTAGATATGCTGGAGGGTAGGGCTAGGATTTAGTGATCTAGACAAATTGGAGGATTGGGCCAAACGCAATCTCATGAGGTTCAACAAGGACAAGTGCAAAGTCCTGCACTTAGGACAGAACAATCCCCGGCACCAGTACAGGCTGGGGGCTGACTGGCTGGGTAGCAGCTCTGCAGAAGACCTGGGGGTTACAATGGACAATAAGCTGAATATAAGCCAGTGTGCCATTACTACCAGGAAGGCTAACAGCATACTGGGCTGTATTGGTAGGTGTGTTGCCAGTAGGTCAAGGGAAGTGATTATTTCGCTCTATTCAGCGCTGGTGATGCCACATCTGGAGTACTGTGTTCAGTTTTGGGCCTCCCACTAGAGAAAGGACATGGACAAATTGCAGAGTCCAGCGGAGGTCAACAAAAAGTGTGTGGGGGGGGGTCACATGACTTCTAAGGAAAGGCTGGAGGTAGCTGGGCTTATTCAGTCTAGAGAAGAGAAGACAGAGGGGATTTAATAGCAGCCTTCAGCTACCTGACTGGGGGTTTGAAAGAGGCATGGACCTGGACTGTTCTTAGTTGTGGCAGATGACAGAACAAGGAGCAACCATCTCAAGTTGCAGCAAGGGACATTTAGGTTAGATATTAGGAAGAATTTTATCACTAGAAGGGTAGTAAAACACTGGAACAGATTATCCAGAGAGGTGGTGGATTCTTGGAAATTTTTAAGATCTGGCTAGACAAAGCCTTGCCTGGGATGATCTAGTTGAGGATGGTCCTGCTTTGAGCAGGGGGATGAACTAGATAACTTCCTGAGGTCCCTTCCAACCCTAATTTTCTATGATTCTAACCTTAAAAATAAAGGCCACCTCAAAGGTAAATTCATTTTGGTAACAGAATCACTCTGTACATGGCAGTCTCATACATAATGTTCTCTGTAGATTATGTTTATGCACATTCATGCACTTAATTTTGCTCATCCCTGGTTCGAATGAAAAAATCAATGGAATCAAACTCACACACCAAAATCCAGTAATTTATTAAGTTATATACTGGTTGGTGAGATGAGGCTGGTGCTCAACATAAAGAGGAACGCCAAGCTCATCTCACCAACCAGTATATGCAGAGAATGGCAAGTGTAAGAGCAGTACCCAATCTTGTAATCAACCCCTACCAACCAGCACCTCTTTCAGGTTATTTCATGGCAGCTATCCCACAGACCCAGAACCGTGCTGCATACTACCCTACTAGCCAACTTGCTCAACTCAGACCAAGTCCTCACTGGACTGCTCAGGGTGCCAGACCTCATCTTTTCCAGAACATGCCTGGTGCTATCCACTCAGCAGCTCCCAGACCACCATTTGGTACCATGAGACCAGCTTCTTCACAAGTTCCACAAGACATGTCAGCACAACGTCTTGCTAATACATCAATACAGACCATAGGGCCGTGTCCAGCAGCAGCAGCAGCTACTGCAGCCCAGTTCAATAGTGTTTATAGATAATCATCTGCACTGTTTGTCAGCTGATGAAAAAAGGTAGAATAACCCTGAAATCAGGAAGTCTACTCCTGGACAACTGAGCAAATATTGCCAACACTCCAGTAGCTTGTGATCGCGTTGGCTGTTTAAGTAAGAGTCCTATTTTTCCATCATATTTCTAGTTCTGGAAGTTTAAGACTTTAAATCACTGTATGTTAAGCACAATCCTGTGCAGAGGATAAGAATAAATTCCTAAGGTTGTCATGTGACAGTACTTAGGTTTGTACAGGGATGAATCACATTTATTCTTAGGATTATTTTCTTTATATTCCTACAGTTTCAGTCTTGCAATTCTCAACCAGGGTGTTATGGAGAGGTGCACAGAACAACATCATGGGCCATGTTTGATGCCCCTGCATTACTCTAGAATTAGAAGATTGAAAGTTACCAACTTACTAGAACTTAAATAGGGGGGAAAAAAAACATATTTTTACAGAGTTGCTTAGCAGGCTGCCTTGTACAGACTCATTCATTACATGTCTCTCACCCCATTCTCATTAGGAAGCTGGAGGACTGTGCCGTAGACACCCATACAGTCCAGTGGGTCGCCAACTGGTTAGAGAGTCGCACCCAGAGGGTGGTAGTGGATGGGTCCTTCTCGACCTGGAAGGATGTGGGAAGTGGGGTCCCACAGGGCTCGGTCCTTGGGCCTGCACTGTTCAACATCTTCATCAGTGATTTGGACGAGGGGGTGCAAAGCACCCTGTTCAAGTTTGCTGATGACACTAAGATGTGGGGGGA